AAATGGAAAAGTAGGAAACAACCAAACAAGAATCCAGAGGGTCAGTTATGACTCAGAAAAGGGCAAAAGAAAGAACACTAAGAAGAAGCTGTCAGCAAAGTAAACATTCTGCATAAACTCCCCAGCAACTAAGTCTGAAAAGGCAAGTCCAGATATTTGGATGCAAATATATTCTTCATTCCAAGTATCAGAAAAAATATAAATGCTAATGGACTGCCATACTCATTAACATCCACGCTGCCACAAATCAACAGATGAGTACACGATACATATTTGTTACCGTCGAAACACAAATGGACCAATTTAAAAAAAAAAATTATCTAGAGCAGCACCAATTCGGGACTACAGAACTATTAAGCAAGCTATACTGAAGAGTTATGAATGTTAGAAATTGCATTACAGCAGCCTTTCAGAATACAAAAAAGAATTTTAAATTTAGCAGAGAATTTCAGGTACTGTTGCCTACATCACCCATAAGGCATTCAAATCTGCCTGGATTTAACCCCATACCACATTCTGAAGACTGACCCAACAACAAAATTAAACAGTCTGGTAATGGATTGGCAGTAAGTGTACATTACCCAGCAGGTCATTCTTAGGTCCCATTTTAACATTCCCATTAGCAATATGAAAGAGGATGGGAGTGGCAAAGGCAAAGAAGCCAGATGACATTTGCAGAGGACACCAAACCGGGTGGAGCAGTAAACAAGGACAAATATAGAAAAACGCATTGGGTTTTTATATAAAGATCTAAGAACATTTCATACGGAGGAGAAAATGGAGCAGCACTGAGCACTCTTCCTGAATGTATTTATACGGACTCTACATTCACACAGCTGATCTTCCCGGGGACCAGCTTGCACCTAGATAATAGCTATTCTTGAATCGGTCTCTTACAACAGAACAACACTGTAAAAGTGTGTACTGGGAAAAATTACGCGCAACCATCTAAAACATCCCTTGAAGATGAAATGCTGTTTTAGTGCAGGAACCGTGTTGCAAAAATTGCTTTCCACAGACAGGTATGGTACTGACACGATCAGAAATAATCTCGAAAAACTCAACGAACACTACAGAAATTTACGTGCTGTCTGGAGCATTATTGTAGGTGAAAACAAAACCGTTTCTATAGCTAGTAAATTAACCGGGTATGCTCCCTCACAAGAAAAGAGGTAATCAAGTATCATCATACTAGAGACACACATGAATGCATTTTATGCAAAATACTACTTACACAAGCAAGTGTTCTGCAACACACGGTGAAAAACAGGAGAGATAGAGAAGGCAACACTTACTTCACATTTTATTCAGCTAAGGCCGGAAAACAACAACAACAACAAAAATGCTTATTATTTCGAAACAGCAGCCCCAAAACGCAGCCTGACCTTACCCAGACCGCGGGTGCGTGGAAGCCCCGGCCTGTTCTGCGGGAGCAGCAGGCGGGAAGGGGCCGGTGGAGAGGGACGCTCAAGGCACCCAAGCTCGGGTTTAAAAATCCGCTTTTTAGGAGCGCTCAGGCGGGCGGCCGCGGGGCAGGGGCACC